CCAAGTCAGAAGCCTATAAAAGTGTAATTCAGTGGTTGTCGTTTGTTTATGTGTTGCATATTTGTTATATTTGTTCATTTTTTTACATAAAATAGGCCGTTAGTTTTCTTGTTTGAATTGTTTTACATTATTTCTGGGCCTTTTATAGCTGACTGTGCGGTATGGGCTTTGCTCATTGTTGAAGGCCGTACTGTGACCTATAGCTGTTAATTTCTGTGTCATTTGGTCTCTTGTGCATGTGTGGAGAGTTGTCTCATTGGCAATCATACCACATCTTCTTTTTTATATTTACATCAACAGATATAAAAAAAATCACCAAAGTCAAGGTGAGACAACAAAACTTAGTTGTAAGATCTCTGAAATTTTTTACAGGGTACGAGTTTTTCTCATTGTTGGAGATTGTACGGTGACAGTAACACCTGTAACTGCTTAAACCCATTTCTTATGCACTTTAGTTTGATAAACTCACTGAATATCATACCACATCTCCTTATTTTTATATGCATTACAATTTACATGTGCATGTAATTGTTAATATATATATATCAGAACAAAATTCATTGCGTCACTTTTATTTATGCATCCTTTGGCACAATACAAGTTCTAAAATTACACAACATAAAACAACTAAATGTTATTTCAGATGAAAGTTTTGTTTCAGTTCCATTCATAGGATTTATAAGAATTTTGTATGTTTTGCCAAGTCCAAATTACACAACATAAAACAACTAAATGTTATTTCAGATGAAAGTTTTGTTTCAGTTCCATTCATAGGATTTATTAGAATTTTGTATGTTTTGCCAAGTCCAATAATTCGCTCTATGTGACATAGAGACATAGTTGACTAAACCACCAGGTGTCGAACATTCAAGAATTTTCAGTGTTTCTGTTTTTATTTGATGAAAAGGTAGCCTGAGCTCTAGGAGCTTTAGGTTTTATCACGGGATATTCTGTGCTGTCAATAATAATCCAAGTAGTAGGAAACATTAATTTGAAGTTGGATGGTGAAAAATACCTGACTAAACCACTAGATGGCCAAGTGTTATGTTAGCCTCACACCACTGTTTAGACATAAAAACAATCCATGTATACACAATATTCTTAACACTAGATTCAATCTAGAATCTAGACAGTTCAAAGTTGGTTGTATGATGCCTCAATTTCATCAAAGTCATAAAAAAACTGATTTTCAACTGACACCCTATCAATTTGAAAATGTATGTATCTCAAACAATGTGCTGCTGGACCAAGTGTGGTCAAAACAAATAAAAATTTAGTATACAACTCTAAACCGGTATAAAAATGCATGGCTGTGTCACGTGTCTTCATTTCAAAATTCTCTGTTAAAAACATAGGCATTGATGGTGTTTGCGTAATTCCATCTGTGAAGCTCAACATTAGCTCGGCAGTTGGTGGTGGACAGTCATAAATCCTTTCTGCAGTATGAATGACTTCTTCAGGAAAACAACTTTACAATCAAAACTTTCCTCTAGATTTCTACTACAATATTCATCAAGTTTAGTTCTTTTGTTTTCACAGGAAACTGCCCTGATTTTTCTTTTTGCGGACGATTCAGTCTCTTGCTTGGTCCAGGAAGATAGGCTGGGAATTGCAGTAGACTTAAGTCTCTGTATGGTGGGTTTGCGCCCTGAAAAAGGTTATAAAACATTAGTTTTTTTATAATTAAATGAACTTCCATTAGCAATGTATACTTTGTACTACCTGGCGAAATATTAACTAGATTTATTCATTACAATCTGGATAAAACTATGTTTGCCTGATTCAATGTATGTTATGTAAATCCAAAGGACAAACAATGAGAGACTTATGCAACAAACGTACATTGTTTGTACCTAAATAACTATAATATAAATGAGAGCATGTCATTGTTTTGTTCCTGTTAACATTGTCATTGATATTTTTCAAGAAAGTCTATGAGGCATAGCTTATGCATTCCTGTCATTACTACATTAGCATAATTACTGCTAAAATAATTCTCAGTATGATATACCTCTTGTAAGAAATCATTATAATTGTAGCAATCACCAAAAAATCTCAAACAGATCACATTGAATCGTAATCCAAAAAATTATGACGTCTTGAATTATCACCCCCTTTTATTCTAAAACGATAATTGCGGTTGTAAACAGACTTTGGTTTATTCGCATGGCGATTACATATATAACTATATATTTCACAAAGAAAATAGAGTTTTACCATGAATAGTTTCCTGCACGTAGTATTTTTCAGTAAAACGTGCCTTGCAAACAACAGCTGATTGAGATGGACTCCACGATATCATCGTGTTCTCGTCCAATCTGCGTATGGGCCATGGCGTTGATCCAACTTTTCCTTCTTTTTAAGTCATTTGGAAATGCATGTCCTCCTCTTAAATGACATCCAGGTACACAACAACAAGTACTTGGCATCGTTAATTAAAAATATAACTGAAATAGTTGCACAGTGCAGAAACCGGAAGAAGAGGAACAGGATCCGCTACCACGGCGCCACCTATTCAGGAACGATAATTTGCTACTTTATATAACTGCGAAAATAACGTTAGACGGGTTCACGTGCATAAACAAAAATGCGCTTTAAATTGTATAATATAATTCATGTTCAGTCGACCTTTAATTATTATATCAACGACTGAAATGATTTATAAACATCTAGATTGCAGATAACACTCGAAATTAACCCGAGCTCTTTCCACACGGAATTCAAATAATTCTAGTTTGTCAATCGGTTGACTGCTTATAATGCAAAATACTAATATATCAAAAGTTTTTAAAACTAACAAAACACAATGATCGTTTCTCTATTTCCCAATGTAAATGAAATGAAACAAAAAACATTTGATATCGCAATAAGAAGAGGAGAGAATTCAACATTTCCGGATCTACTTAGAGTCTAATGACCCCCCACGTAGATAAGTTGGATATCGCGGAAGGAAGGATTAACCCGGCAACTAGAAAGGCATTAAAGCACTGCCTTTAAAAATTCAAGCAACACATATTGTATCCCAGCAGTTACTAAACTGCATTAAACAAAAGTAATCTGGGTAGAATATTCACAGTAGATTCAAAGTTTGACAGAAAATGAACAATAACATAATATGATACCTTTCGTCACTTTAATCAGTGGCTTCAATTACGAGTCATCGAAGAAAGCATTACATTAGCTTATGTGATTTAAGCAGTTCCTTTAATTTTTTTGGATCAAAATATTTTTCCTTTCTAAATTCTTGTGCATGCCCGGGCGTTTTGACGTAAACGTAGCTACGCACATGGTATGTGTTCTCGTGTGTTTCTTTACATTGCTAAGGTAGCTAAACCTTTTTACCACATACACTACCGTCATGAGATTAATGACCTGTATGTGTTCTCATGTCAATATGTAAATTACAATCCAAACCATATAAATCACATACCGGTAAAGCTGTTAATGTCTGTCATTTGGTCTCTTGTGGAGAGTTGTCTCATTGGCAATCATACCACATCTTCTTACTTAAATGAAAATGAAAGAATTGGTAAAATTTGTTTTCACAGTGTTGACATATGTGGAGTGTTGTCTCATTAGTAATTATCATCATATCATAGCTTCTTACTTTTATAACAAGAGTGCACACGCTGACATGTCTCGCCTTCTTTACTAATCATTGATATTATGTTGACATTCCTAAATATAAGGCTTTATTACAACTGTCACATAAACCTAACATTAACCAAGAAAACTAAACATTGACCAATGAACCATGAAAATGAGGTCAAGGTCAGATGAACCATGCCAGGCAGACATGTACAGCTAATAATTCTTTCATACAACATATATAGTTGACCGATTCCTTATAGTTTAAGAAAAACAGACCAAAACACAAAAACTTAACACTGAGTAATCATGAACCGTGAAAATGAGGTCAAGGTCAATTAAAACCTGCGTGACTGACATATAGATAATAAAATATTTCCATACACCAAATATAGTTGACCTATTGCATAAAGTATTAGAAAAAAAGACCACAACTCAAAATCTTACCTTTGACCACTGAACCATGAAAATGAGGTCAAGGTCAGATGACACCTGCCAGCTAGACATGTACACCTTACAATCATTCCATACACCTAATATAGTAGACCTATATATAGCTATTGCATACGAAAAACAGATCAAAACACAAAAACTTAACTATAACCACTGAACCATGAAAATGAGATCAAGGTCAGATGACACCTGCCAGTTGGACATGTACACCTTACAGTCCATCCATACACCGAATATACTAGACCTCTGAGATATGGACTTGACCACCAAAACTTAACCTTGTTCACTGATCCATGAAATGAGGTCGAGGTCAAGTGAAAACTGTCTGACAGTCATGACGACCTTGCAAGGTACGCACATACCAAATATAGTTACCCTAATTGAGCCTATTACTTATAATAAGAGAGAATTTAACATTACAAAAAATCTTAACTTTTTTTTCAAGTAGTCACTGAACCATAGAAATGAAGCCAAGGACATTGGACATGTGCACGTGACTGACGGAAACTTCGTAACATGAGGCATCTATATACAAAGTATGAAGCATCTAGGTCTTCTAAAATATAAAGCTTTTAAGAAGTTAGCTAACACTGCCGCCGTAGCGCCGCCGCCGCATCACTATCCCTATGTTGAGCTTTCTGCGACAAAAGCCGCATGTTAAAAGTATGAAAAATCTAGAGAGAATCATTTCCCGCCAAATTTTCAATGGCTGCACACGGACCCTTCATTTTTTTCTGCTTTTTTGGTTCCTTTATTTATATACTATAAATTTATTTAGAACAGTCTTTTAAAAGCTTGTTATTTTAAAACAGAGTCGCCAACATCCTTAAATGGTTTTATCATTGCTATATCATATTCAAAATAGTTTTGATATCGATACATACGTGTGGGAACTACTAGTATTTGGTTTGAATATGTACTATTTTCCAGTTTGTTATAAGGTTTGTCATCAGAGTGGGTTCTCGTGTAAACCTTTAATAAAAAAATCAAACCACATACATCATATACATCACAATCATAAAGTTTATCATCAGTGTGTGTTCTTGTGTGAACCTTTAAGTCACTAAACCGATTGAAACTTAAACCACATACATCACATTCATAAGGTCAGTGTGTATTCTCATGTCAACCTTTAATAAACAGATTAAACCATATACATCACAATCATAAGGTTATCATCAGTGTGTGCTCTCATGTGAGCCCTTAAGTCACTAAACTGATTAAACACATACATCACATTCATAAGTTTATCAACAGTGTGTGTTCTCTTGTGAACCTTTAATAAACAGATTAAACCCTATACATTACAATCATAAGGTTATCATCAGTGTGTGCTCTCATGTGAACCTTTAATAAACAGATTAAACCACAAACATCACAATCATAAGGTTATATTCAGTGTGTGCTCTCATGTGAACCTTTAAGTCACTAAACCGATTGAAACTTTAGCCACTTACATCACTCTCATAAAGTTTATCAACAGTGTGTGTTCTCTTGTGTGAACCTTTAAGTCACTAAACAGAATGAAACTTTAACCACATATATCACTCTCATAAAGTCTATTATTAGTGTGTGTTCTCTTAATTGTGTGAACCTTTAAGTCACTAAACTGATTGAAACTTAACCACTTACATCACTCTCATGAAGTTTATCAACAGTGTGTGATCTCTTGTGTGAACCTTTAAGCATGTTAAGTCACTAAACCGATTGAAACTTTAACCACATATATCACTCTCATAAAGTTTATCAACATTATGTGTTCTTATGTAAACCTTTAAGTCACTGAACTGATTAAAACTTTAATCCTTTACATCACAATCATAAAATTAACATCAGTGTGTTCTCCTGTGTGAACCTTTAAGTCACTAAACCGATTGAAATTTTAACCATATACATCACACTCATAAAATTTATCAGCAGTGTGTGTTCTCGTGTGAACCTTAAGTCACTTAACAGATTAAACCACATACATCTCATTCGTAGGGTTTATTATCAGTGTGTGTGTTCTCATATGTCTCGTTAAACTACTAAGATGACGAAACCCTTTCCCACACACATGACAATCATGTGATTTAGAACCTGTATGTGAACTCATGTGTAACTGTAAATACTCAAGTCGACTGAACCCTTTACCACATAAATCACAGTGAAGATTTTTATCGCCTGTATGTATTCTCATGTGTCTCTCTAAACTGCTATGCCGCTTAAACCGTTTATCACATACGTCACAGTCATGAGTTTCAGTATCGGCGTGAGTTATCATGTGTCTCTGTAAATTAGCATGCTGACTAAAACTTCTACCACATACACCGCAACCATGAGATTTATCACCTGAATGTATTTTGACGTGTCTCTGTAAATTACTTAGATGACTAAACGGTTTACCACAAATATCACAGGCATGAGGTTTATCTCCTGTATGTGTACTCATGTGTGTCTTTAGGGAACTCTTGCGAACAAATTCAATAGCACAAACATCACATTTGTGGGGTTTATCTCCAGTATGTTCTCTCACATGTCGGTTTAAGCTACTACTTTGACTAAATTCTTTAGCACAAATATCACATTTATGAAGTCTTTTACCAGTCTGTTGAGCACCACTGGTTGTGATTAAATTGTCTCCTCCCTCTAACACCTTGTTGACAATGTTTATCTTCAGTATGAAAGTTCTTGCATGACTCTGTAAGGAAAAAAATAAAAAATTAAAGTCTTACACCTTATAATTACATTTCATGTATGTTTCAGAAGAATCTTTTATTTTGATGGGTAACAACACTTGTGCATCATACTAAAATTCACCTTCATATCACAATGAAGTTTAACATTCATGATGACACATGCTATCACAAAAAAGTGCACAGGTTATGCCGTAAAGAAATAAATAATAAAAATCGATTTTTCAGGATCATAGAGAAAAAATTTGTAAGGGTTCAGCGGAACCCGGTGTCTCGCCTACTTTTGCTGTTAATTGCAGGCTCAACAAAAATGAGGAAAAAAATTAATAAATTTATTCCTCTCAATACTATCTTTTGATTGTAAGAAGCTTCTGTCCAAGTTTGGTAAAAATCCAGGATAGTTTATGAATCCAATAAATGTTTTTAAAACTTTAACTGCAGGCTGTATGTAATGTTAACTGGAAGAAAAACTGAGTCCATTTATAAGTAAAATACAAAAAAACAGGTACAAAATTTTAACAAAATTTCCTTCTAGATACTAGCTTTTGATTATAAACAAGCTTCTGTCCAAGTTTGGTACAAATCCAGGATAGTTTAAGAAAGTTATTAAAATTTTAAAAACTTCAACCACAGACTGAATGTAATGTTTCCTGGCAGAAAAACTGAGAAAGTCCATTTATAAGTAAAATTCAGAAAACCAGAATTTTTTTTTTACAAAATTAATTTCTGGATGATTATAAACAAGCTTCTGTCCCAGTTTGGTAGAAATCCAGGATAGTTTAAGAAAGTTATAAAAATTTCAAATACTTTAACCACAGCCTGCTCCAGTCATGCTTCAGTGATTCCCTATATAATCAACCAAATTTTCCCCTAGACCCCCCTATGCTGTACTGCCTCATTAATGTACATGTATACATCACATCCTCTTTACTCATGTCATGAGGAAAACAATGTTGGTAAATGTCGACATTATTAGCAGGCTCCATGTTGAAGGGCATAGTTTGACCTATATTTGTTTACTCATGTTACTTTTCAATCATTGTGACTTGGATAGAGAGTTTTCTAAGTTGCACTCATACCACATCTTCTTATTTATTACAAATAAACTGTTAATTCATAGCTATGTCTTTCCTATTTCATGTATTTGCAGGAAATTCAGAAAATACAATCTGATGGAAAGAAACATTGCTAATTAATAAAAATATGCTTGAAATATAGACGATCTTTTCTTCAGTTGAGGATATAACTCTATAGGTTTATTAGAGAAAAATAACAAACATTTGTTATTGTGGACTAAAAAATCAAAGAACTGTGATGTTTCAAAGGAACAATATACATCATTAGTTTTGTTCAAATGTATACAAGTTCTTTTTTATCATTACTATATTGTCTTTATTTATACTTAACTATAGAAAGATATAACAGTTCATAGTTTGTCAATCATGCATAGTACACCTATGTCATGTATGTTATTACAGAAAAAATATGCCTGCTATAACTAAAGGGTGTTATTACAGCTTCTCTATGGCATTTGCTCAGACATACATCATGCTTAATTACAATGTATTTTAATTTATTGTAATAAGTAATGATCAGAGCATGTAATGAGGTTCTGCATACGGTGAGCTTCCCAGTTATTCCCAAGTGTCTCATATATTAAGTTACATGCCTTTAATAACTAAGCCTTGTTATAACAGCTAGGTTTATCCCATAAAAGCCTCGTCTCATTGAGTTACCATGGTTAATGAAAAATGTATTATTTTAATTCAAATATTAGTTATCAAGGCTATGCATTTAGTTTCTGCGCAAAGTTTCAAGAGTTCCCTAGAGCCCACTAAAAATTAAAATATTTATGATTTATTTTACAAATAACAAACATATGTTATTACAGATTAGGGTTAGGGTTATTACAGATTTAGAAAAATCAAAGATTAAAGAGAAGACAACTCATGAAAGTATCTGTAATAACACATGCAAGATATTTTCTGTTATGTTACCCTATAAAGTTATATCTCTGACTGTTCTTAAAAGTGTAAAGAAATAGCAAAAATCTTTTAAACAATACCTGAATACTTTATTTAAACATGTAAAACAGTAATCTTTAATTGATTAACCTGCACAAACATAATTTTAATTTATGATATTCACTAAGACAATATTTCTATATCATGTATATCCATGTGTCTATTGAAAGTTCTAATGACAAGAGCAGACTCGAAAACTTTAAATGTGAAAAAAAATGTTGGGAAATTGTAACATACTAACATGGCTAGGGACTATGTGGAATAGGAACACTCCAGGAATTTTTGGCCTGAAAGATCTTTAGGTTTTGTATGTACCGTTAAAAGGCTTGTATAGTCCGCGGTTTTATTCTCCAAGTAATTTCAATAAAACTTGTATACATTTTAACATAAACTGTTATCACAGCGATAAGTCTCGCTTTTTTGTAATTTCGATAATGCAAATGTTGAAAATAAAATAGCAACACTTTAACATGTAAGTTTTGTAAATATTCAAGTTCAATGAACCATGAATGAAGGGACATGGCTAAAAAATCTCCATGGAAATGAGATGTGCCAATGCTAATACAACTGCATACCAAATATCATTGAATTATCATAAGTAGTTCAAACAAACCTGAACACAAACTAATACATGTAAACTAAGCAAGATTTCAAAGTCAATAAACCATAACTGAGCAGGCGGGGTCAAATAATCTCCATGGTAATGAGATGTGCCAATGCTAATACAACTGCATACCGATTATCATTAACTTATAATTTACCACTAGTGGTTCCCCATAAACTGACTTAATCACAAACTAATACATGAAAACTAAGCAAAAATTTCAAAGTCAATTGAACAATACTGAGGGGGCGGGGCCAAATAATCTCCATGGTAATGAGATGTGCCCAAACTAATACAACTGCACACCAAATATCTTTGACTTGCCACTAGTGGTTCCCCATAAACTGACCTAATCACACAAAATACATGATAACTATGCAAAAGTTTCAAAGTCAATAGAGCATAACTGAGGGGGCTGGGCCAAATAATCTCCATGGTAATGAGATGTGCCAAAACTAATACAATTGCATACCAAATATCTTTGACTTACCACTAGTGGTTCACCATAAACTAGACCTAATCACAAACTAATACATTGTTGCCGCCGCCGTCGTCATCGATGCCGGAAACAGCATACCTATGTCTCGCTTTTTGACGCCGTCAAGTGAGACAAAAACTAATAATGTATATTGTCCCTTTGAAACATGTAACATACATATGTTATCACACTTCTTTGATGCTTTAGTCCACAATAACAATTACATGTAGGTTATTTTTCTCTAATAACTCTATAGAGTATATCCTTTACTGTTGTATGTACATGTTTTTTTTTTCTTCTAATTTTATCTACAAAATATATACTACATGTATTTGTAAAAGGACTAACCTTGCCATCCTCTTTTTCCTTCTGATTCTTATTTTCTTCAGTCTTTGTCCCCTCTTCACTCTGATCGACATCCATTATTTCTTCAGTTGCATTTACTTCAGCATGTTCAGAATTACTTCCCTTAGCATCATCCTCCACTTGCTTTTGAGGCAAGTCCATTAATCCTTAGCTCTCCTGTATCAATATGCAGAAAAGATCAAAATTTTTAAATTTCAGCTTCACAAGCTTCTAATGCAATTACATGTATGTCATATATGTCAGTCAGGGGTACTACTTGTACAAGTAATTTTTATTTACTTGAAGAAGTAAATATTAATATACTTATATAAGTAAATTTGTAGGATACTTATACAAGTGTATTTTATTTACTTGTATAGGTAAATTATTTTTTGGCTTAGTTATGTCCCTTAGACATTCAGATTTTTTAACTTATACAAGTAAAAAAGTTATCCTATCTTCTTTTCTTGAATTTCTTAAGACTTCTTTGCTCTAATAGAATTTTTAATTGTCTGTCCTTTGCAGATGTCTTTACTAATCATTTAAGTGTAATTTTCATGGACAATGAAAATCTCATTTGTCTGTTATCTTCAGAACACTGCTCATTTACAAGCCCGCAATTAGGGGCAATTTTTGAAGGCCTTGCGCAAATAACTAAGATCTTTGCGCAATTAGTTTCTTTGTTGAATTAATGAGATGAAACGTTGAACTCTAATAAAAAATTATGAGCTAACTTGAGAAAAATTGTTAAAGGCATGTTTTTACATCTCAAAACTTGAGAATTTTTCGGAATTGTAAAAAAAAAATTACTTATACAAGTAAATTTTTGAGAAAATTAAGGGGAGATTATTCAAACATTATAATTTACTTATATTAGTATATTATTATTTACTTCTTCAAGTAAAAAAAGATTACTTGTACAAGTAGTACCCCTGACTGTATGTCTTTCGTGTATTGTTTTGTACAGGTTGGGCTGATGTCATGATATGATGGAGTAATGTAAGTCGACAAAGCTAGTGAGAAAGAGAATTTGTCTAGTAGAAAGTCAAGAAATGGTATGATATTATTGATAAATCATTTGATTTTTACTCTTCCGGTTATGAAGCCAATTTATCCTGAGACTTAAGCAATGGGAAACAACTTAAACATGTTAAAGTAAACACAAGCTCATGTTAGATAAAACTTACCACAACAGCTGACATGATGTAAACACAAGCTCATGTTAGATAAAACTTTCCACAACAGCTGACATGATGCGCCTTTTCACAAATGCTGGGAAAACAATGTACGAAGTTTTATACCCCAATTTTTGCAGTGTTTTTATTACCCCAGAAAAACGAGTTTACCCTATAAACCTGGGATCTAAAAACTTAAAACCCACAGTAAAGTTTTCCAAATTGAACTTTTTAACGTTTGTCATATTTGTGATTTCAGGGCCTAATATAGCATGTATAGCTTGCTATAAATTATAATACGGTGTAGATTTTTCTCATTGTTGAAGTCAATGCAGTTGCCCTTATCATGCTTATGTATGTATGTACTGGTAAATTTCTCTGATATCCGAAGAACCCCTCTAGAGCTGGGAGGGTACAGTGGAATCTATGTACACTCCCCGTCTGGATTAATGGAGATGAGTCACTAACGTATTTACAATGTTCAATATTTATAAGGACAATCCCCAACCCAACACCAAGGAGTGTTAGGATACTGGGCAGTATCTGTTATTATGGTGGAGGATGCCGAAGTACTCGAAGAGAACCACTGGGCCACTCTGAAAACAGCAGATATCAGCAGATTGATCTCAAAGTCAAAGTCAGGAGCAACTTTGACCAGCCATGGCCCCCAAAGTACCTATTCTAGTTTAAACTCTGGTCTGGGTACCAGAGATGTGTGTGAGAGGATGAAAATTACCCTTCTGATGTACTTATATTTTTAGCACCCCGAGTGAGAACCGATCTCGGGACCTTCAGCACTGTGGTTATCGGTCTTAACCACTAGTCCAAATAATTATGACGTCTGGCAGCATGGGCAAGGCTATTTTAATTATTTCCTGGGACGGAACCACTAGATCACTAACTCACATTTCCTTCCGTTTCCTACGTGATGCATCTAATTAATTTGAACTTTGTAGGATAGTTTTCTCATAATATTATATTTGACAATCATAACACAACATGTTATTTAAATAATTTACGGTCTCAAATTGGCTTATATCAGTCTGGACAAGTAGATACTGGCTTCTTAGTTTTCACCTTATATACAGTATTAAGTCTACCCATATATGTTTCACTACATCTTGTAGAAAATAAGATAAATCGTTGTCTACTGACTCTGTAACTCAAAACTTACTTTGTCTTCAGAGGGAAAATATAGGTCGAGGGAAAGGGACCAACGTTATCATTCTATGTACAGTCCACCTAACTTATCTGTAAGTCCCCCTCTGTTAGGCGCACCACCTAACGGTGCAATCAAGGATTTGATATAGGCATGAATCCGCATCCTGTATCTTATTTTTCTTCTTCCGTAGACTCCTAGGTAGGAGTGTAAAACTACCCAGAACTTGTGTGCTATGTACATATGGACTTAATATTAAAATTAATATATAATAATCATGATTAAGGAAAAATAGTTAACAATAACATATACAATCATTCAACAATTACCATGATAATAATGAGCAAAATAAGGCCAAGTAAAACAGAAGGGGCAGACCAAGATAAAATATTGTACAATCTTTTCTTTTGTTTTTCCTTACATTAAATCAGAAAGGTATTTTATAACTCGAGGAAATAGATAGTATATTGATCTTAATTAAGTCAAGTAATATTTGTATTGTTTGGGGGGAAAAATCGTAAGGGTTCCGCGGAACCCAGTGTCTCGCCTACTTTTGCTGTTAATCGCAGGCTCAACAAAAATGAGGAAAAAAACCTGTATGAATATATTCCACACAGAATGTACACGGAATATAGTAGGAATATTGCATTGAATTCCTACCAGAAAAGAGTGATATTCTAGTCAGACAGTAGTATATAGGAATCCACAAGGAAAATAGCCGAAAAATTTAAATAAGCAGGAATTTCTTAGTAGGAATATTGTATATTCCTACCAGGAATATTTAAATTAACAGGAATAATTTGGCGGGAAAATAAAAAAAGTAAATTACGTATATCTGCTCATAAGCTGCAAATTAAATTTGGTCGTTTTTCTAATATTCCACGAAATGAAAGAATTTGCAAAAAATGCTCCTCTGGCTGTGTTGAAGATGAAATACATTTTTTTAACTACATGTGAAAAATTTAAGTCTGAAAGAGATGATCTCTTTGACTTTGTTTGCCATAAAATACCTAACTTTACTTTACTAAACAGTCAGCAAAAATTTATTTATTTATTAAGCTGTGAAGCCAATCAGGTTCTTAATGCTATTGGAAAGTTTATTCAAGTCAATATGAGTTAGATGTATTAATTTCTCATATAAATGTATTATATATTATAAACCAGGGTTTAATTGCGTGAACCCCCGAGGGTTCACGCATATTAATTAGTTAGAAATATATATAGTCTGTGGATGAATATTCGGACGCTAAATTATTCTTCATTCGGAACACTTATTCATCTTATCTGTATTAGCCTCCTGCAATTAAGATTATAATAAACAATTAATTTCCCCATAGGCGACAATGATAGCCTTTTTCGAGATACAGACTTTAGAAAGCTGATTTTTTTAACGAAACCTTGCTAGAATTAAAGAAAAGTTATTAGGACAGTATTTTTTGGTCCAAAAAATATAGGTTCGCGTTGCTTTTCTTAGCGTAATTTGTACTTATCTCCCATGCCTATCAATTTTGCACTTAAAAATACGTGTCTCATCCTAGCGTTTAAAAGACATCTCAGTTCCGTTAGGGCTAAGGAAAATAATTTATTTGGCCTTTGGTATAATGCAGAATGCACGAAGTCTCTAATTACAAAAAATAACGGGCGCACATATCAACCAATCAGGATTAGCTATACTCTTAATTCTGAATACCATGTTATGCTCATAAAATGGCTGCGCCCATAAAATCTAATGGTGTATTGTAACCTATACGCTATTTAATACTTTCTAGAATCATGCAATTCATAGTTCGTTAGATGCATAAATATATATGCCACACAAAAATCATCTTCAAAACGTTCTGGCATTACTCTCTGAATTTTCACAATTTTTTATCAGAGGTTACCCCAGTCAAAAAATGTGAAAAAAAAAATTTCTGATTTTTTTAGTAAATGCGGTACTGCTAAAAAGGGCCTGAAGATAATGTCCACTTTCTCCAATGATTCTTTATATGTCATCAAGTACTGATTATATTGATACCAAAACCGATCCAATATGTAACTACTACGGTGAATTTTGAACAACAGTTTTAAATGAAACCATTTTCGTATAAAAGTACATTTTTGAAACAGACTATAGCATTACAAAATATGAAAAATGTGTAAATATTTGTGTTGAAACATCGAAAACTATTCGTTAACAACGAAATGTCATGCCTATTCTAATTTTTATAGTCTGCCATTCGAGTGAACATTTCAATGTTCGAAGGGGATCGTTTCTGTACATTTTCACTGAATTTGGTAATTTCGATAACAGCACTTGGATCGAGATTGTCATGTTTAAAAATCGATTTGTATATCCAAACTCTAGACGTGTATGTGCTTTTTACAAACAAATCAGCAGAAGTTCAGAAAATGACATATTCTCTCCACAGTAAGTCAAAAGTCGAACACACCCTTGTTTCTAAGGTAAAACGCTATACAAATATGAAACAGACTATAGCTTAAAAACTAGTTAATCAATAATTCATTTGTCACCAAAAAATACGGTTTCACATCAAATAACAAGTAAAATTACTGTTTTTGACACTTTTTGAGCACTATGATAAAGAAATGTCGACGCTGTATAGATTATAATAAACAATTAATTTCCCCATAGGCGACAATGATAGCCTTTTTCGAGATACAGACTTTAGAAAGCTGATTTTTTTAACGAAACCTTGCTAGAATTAAAGAAAAGTTATTAGGACAGTATTTTTTGGTCCAAAAAATATAGGTTCGCGTTGCTTTTCTTAGCGTAATTTGTACTTATCTCCCATGCCTATCAATTTTGCACTTAAAAATACGTGTCTCATCCTAGCGTTTAAAAGACATCTCAGTTCCGTTAGGGCTAAGGAAAATAATTTATTTGGCCTTTGGTATAATGCAGAATGCACGAAGTCTCTAATTACAAAAAATAACGGGCGCACATATCAACCAATCAGGATTAGCTATACTCTTAATTCTGAATACCATGTTATGCTCATAAAATGGCTGCGCCCATAAAATCTAATGGTGTATTGTAACCTATACGCTATTTAATACTTTCTAGAATCATGCAATTCATAGTTCGTTAGATGCATAAATATATATGCCACACAAAAATCATCTTCAAAACGTTCTGGCATTACTCTCTGAATTTTCACAATTTTTTATCAGAGGTTACCCCAGTCAAAAAATGTGAAAAAAAAAATTTCTGATTTTTTTAGTAAATGCGGTACTGCTAAAAAGGGCCTGAAGATAATGTCCACTTTCTCCAATGATTCTTTATATGTCATCAAGTACTGATTATATTGATACCAAAACCGATCCAATATGTAACTACTACGGTGAATTTTGAACAACAGTTTTAAATGAAACCATTTTCGTATAAAAGTACATTTTTGAAACAGACTATAGCATTACAAAATATGAAAAATGTGTAAATATTTGTGTTGAAACATCGAAAACTATTCGTTAACAACGAAATGTCATGCCTATTCTAATTTTTATAGTCTGCCATTCGAGTGAACATTTCAATGTTCGAAGGGGATCGTTTCTGTACATTTTCACTGAATTTGGTAATTTCGATAACAGCACTTGGATCGAGATTGTCATGTTTAAAAATCGATTTGTATATCCAAACTCTAGACGTGTATGTGCTTTTTACAAACAAATCAGCAGAAGTTCAGAAAATGACATATTCTCTCCACAGTAAGTCAAAAGTCGAACACACCCTTGTTTCTAAGGTAAAACGCTATACAAATATGAAACAGACTATAGCTTAAAAACTAGTTAATCAATAATTCATTTGTCACCAAAAAATACGGTTTCACATCAAATAACAAGTAAAATTACTGTTTTTGACACTTTTTGAGCACTATGATAAAGAAATGTCGACGCTGTATAGATTATAATAAACAATTAATTTCCCCATAGGCGACAATGATAGCCTTTTTCGAGATACAGACTTTAGAAAGCTGATTTTTTTAACGAAACCTTGCTAGAATTAAAGAAAAGTTATTAGGACAGTATTTTTTGGTCCAAAAAATATAGGTTCGCGTTGCTTTTCTTAGCGTAATTTGTACTTATCTCCCATGCCTATCAATTTTGCACTTAAAAATACGTGTCTCATCCTAGCGTTTAAAAGACATCTCAGTTCCGTTAGGGCTAAGGAAAATAATTTATTTGGCCTTTGGTATAATGCAGAATGCACGAAGTCTCTAATTACAAAAAATAACGGGCGCACATATCAACCAATCAGGATTAGCTATACTCTTAATTCTGAATACCATGTTATGCTCATAAAATGGCTGCGCCCATAAAATCTAATGGTGTATTGTAACCTATACGCTATTTAATACTTTCTAGAATCATGCAATTCATAGTTCGTTAGATGCATAAATATATATGCCACACAAAAATCATCTTCAAAACGTTCTGGCATTACTCTCTGAATTTTCACAATTTTTTATCAGAGGTTACCCCAGTCAAAAAATGTGAAAAAAAAAATTTCTGATTTTTTTAGTAAATGCGGTACTGCTAAAAAGGGCCTGAAGATAATGTCCACTTTCTCCAATGATTCTTTATATGTCATCAAGTACTGATTATATTGATACCAAAACCGATCCAATATGTAACTACTACGGTGAATTTTGAACAACAGTTTTAAATGAAACCATTTTCGTATAAAAGTACATTTTTGAAACAGACTATAGCATTACAAAATATGAAAAATGTGTAAATATTTGTGTTGAAACATCGAAAACTATTCGTTAACAACGAAATGTCATGCCTATTCTAATTTTTATAGTCTGCCATTCGAGTGAACATTTCAATGTTCGAAGGGGATCGTTTCTGTACATTTTCACTGAATTTGGTAATTTCGATAACAGCACTTGGATCGAGATTGTCATGTTTAAAAATCGATTTGTATATCCAAACTCTAGACGTGTATGTGCTTTTTACAAACAAATCAGCAGAAGTTCAGAAAATGACATATTCTCTCCACAGTAAGTCAAAAGTCGAACACACCCTTGTTTCTAAGGTAAAACGC